AATTTTTGGGGGAGTTTTAAAATTAAGTTCGAATGCCAAAACATGCTCATTGCCCCTCTACTGCCCAAAACATGCCCCCCCCCACCAATGCATTAGAGCATCTCTAACAGATGACCATCCAATCTCTGTCTGAGGACCTCCAGTGAACTCCCCACTTCATGTGGCAACTTGTTTCATTGGCTGAGAGCCTGCATTTAGGATGTTCCTGATTAACATCTAACCTAAACCAATTTCCTTGTAGTTTTAATCCACTGTTTCTAGCCCTGCTCTCTAGAGCAGTGTTTTTCAACCTTGGCAGCTTGAAGATGTGAGCCAGCCTCTGGGGAGAATTCTGGGAATTGAAATCCACATATTTTCAAGCGATCACAAGTCATAAATGTGAGCCAGTTGCCAAGTGCCCAGATTGCAACAATGTGACCACGGGGGTGATGGGACACCCAGAACTCCGAGGACCAGTCGTAACCACTATTCATTCAGTGCTATTGTAACTTCGAGGTTGTAAGTCAAGGACTACCTGTAGTTTAACACCTTCCTGATTAGATTGGTGAAGCACAAGCCAAACCTTTTCTTCCCAGGCTTCATAAGATGTAGCCTATGTCTTTCTAGAAGTCCTTTATACAGATAGTATGTGCCATTATCATACAATCCAAACATTTTTGACATCACTACCTATGTAGCCAGTTTTTGACTTCCAGGATCCCATTTCCTCTCATTGTGCCATGGACTGCAATTGGAAGAACTGATGGAAATGCTTCCAGTCCCTTCATCTTCCTAGCTAAGGACTTGTACTTTCTGGAGATTCTTTCAAAGTGTCTTCTGGTCAAACAGTTGCCTTTGACATCATGTGGGCACCAGGAAGAGGAGATACCTCTTGTCATATTGGGTCTGCAAACAGCCATCTCAGTTCTTCTCAGTAGGAATCATCTACCACTATGACACACCTCTTACAGGAGGTCCTCATTTAACAAACTCATTCAGGGACTGTTTGAACTTACAACAGCACTGAAAGAGTGGTAGTTATGACCAGTCCTTGTACTTACAGCCACTGCAGGGTCCCATGGTCATATGATCACAATTTGCAAACTTCCCTGCCAGCTTCTCATAAGCAAAGTCAATAGGGAAGCCAGCAGGAAGTTGCAAGTCACAGTCACATGAAGTCCTTGCTTAACAACCTGCGCGGTCCTCACTTAACAATGGCAGCTGGGACTGACACTGCTAAACGGTGCAGTCACATGGTTTTTCTACTTATGACCACATTGCTTAACAATGGAGTTTCTGGTCCCAATTAGCATTGTTAAGCAAAGACTACCTGTATTTCTCAAGGTGGCTCTGGGCTTCGATCCACGGGAGCTTCCTGATCAACTTGTTTCTTTGGGTCACTTGTTTTATGCATTTGCCCCTGCCAAGGGAGACTCTCCTGATCTCTAGTTTCCTTCCTTCCTTCCTTCCTTCCTTCCTTCCTTCCTTCCTTCCTTCCTTCCTTCCTTCCTTCCTTCCCTCTTTCTTTCTTTTCTTTTTCTTTTTCTTCTCTGCCTCTACTGGAGAGCTTCAGGTGTCCTGTCCAGAAATTTTTCCACTCTTCCCTCATTTTTTCTTCCAAGCTTGCACTTGCAGTAGGTATCATTTGGATTTACTTCAGGCAGGAAGACAAGTACTGCATGTACCCTGGAGATCCCAGGAATGCTTCCCTTGCTCTCCATGAGAGAGCTTGGAGTCTCCTCTGCTGACTCCCCCAGGTGAAATTCCATGAAAAGCTTCCCTGTTTTCTTTGCAAGCTGCCAGGAGCTGCCCCTCTGATGAGAACTGCTGTAATCTGGACCGGGTGAAAGAGAAGAATGAAAAACAAAAAACTGCCTCCTTCTTGATCTCCCCTCCACTGCTCTCATATTTGCTCTTCTGGTCCACTTACTCAGTGATCTTTCTTGGGAAACTGGTTTCTTTTGAGCTGTTTAGGCCAACAAGATCCTCCAGTCAGGAACAATGGGAAATCAAGAGCTGTCAAGAAACAATCAGTAATCCACCAGCAGCACTCAGAATTGTCAGCAGCCACAGGTCACCCCCTCCTTGACTTTTTCCGCTCTTTTCTTCCTCTTCCAACACCTTTTGCCAAACTCCTGTTTGCTCTCCCTGTTCACTCACTCAGTCTCTGGAAATTGGGGCCCTTATGTGCCCCCGGAGCTGCCTCAAACATGGATTGGTAAGTTCCCCTCTCTAGCAATATTACTGCTATAGTTAGAAATACTGGGGCTTTCTCTCTTCAGTCTGTCCACCTTTGGATAGACTCTTTGGCACCAGGTTCAGCTGGTAAGGCCCCACCCCGCAGCATTAAACAAAACTGGGGACCATGTGTAAAACGTTGCAATGAAGCCATTTTTTTCTCTTCTCTCAGATGCCTTTGGAACGGTTATGGAAAGAAAAGGAGGGGCATGTTTTGAATGGACTTTTCCATCAACAACAACCAAAAGGGCAGAAGTTTGACGGATCCCTCAATGGCACTGGAGCAGTGCTTCTCAACCTTGGCCGCTTTCAGATGTGTGGACTCCAACTCCCAGAATTCCCCATCCAGCCATGCTGCCTCAAGCATGGATGCTATAGTGATAATTATAGTGATAACTGATATAGTGATAATTCCCCATGCTGAGTGGGGAATTCTGGGAGTTGGAGTCGACACATCTGAAAACGGCCAAGGTTGAGAAACACTGCACTGGAGTTACTGCAGTTGAGTTAAAGGTAGAGCCAAACTTTTCTAAGCACCCTTCCACGCCATTCTTGGTGGACTCTGCACACGACCAAACGGCGCGCTCTTCTTAAACCATACTCTACTCCTGGACTCATAAGGTCAGGATCATGCCCCAGCAAGCGTTTCCCCTCGGTAACAGAACACGTTGTCCTCTCTTTCCTCCCCCGCTCCCGCCATTTCTGCCTCGCTGGAGTCCAAAGCTCGCGGGCTGCTCTGTCTCTGGCTGGTCCTCTCCTTCCAGCCCCGGATGGCTTTGCCCGCGTTGACAAAGGGTTAAAGTTGCCGCTGAGTAGTTGCGGGGGGGTGACGTCGTCGTGTTTTTCTGGCCGCCTGACGAGCCTGGAAGATAGTTCCTTCTTCGAAAGATGAGGGGAGCGAGCTGAGGCTTGAAATCTGAGACCCTTCATAGACTCACCACTTGGTGAGATCCCAGGCGAAAGGACTCGGCTCGGCTGCCTGCGCTCTGCCCGCTTTCC